GGGCGCGGAGGCGGTTTCGCAGTCCCGCAGCGCCACCTGCCGGACAGCGGCGCCGAGGACACCGGCTCCGCCGCCGGGAAGGCTCCCTGTCTGCACCGAGGCCTGGCGGTTCCAGCCCGGACATCGCCGCTCCGGGGCGGGTCAGCTCAGACTGAATGAGTAGCAAGCAAGGGACCCGACAGGCTTCGCTGACCAAATGAAAATAGTATACTCAGGGGTGTAGGCGACCTGGTCCTAGCGTCATCGGAGTTTTACACGAAGGGGTGGCAGCCACCCTTTCAGAGAAATTTGATCCCTCTCTCTGCCTCCCAAGGAGCCGCTAGCTCAACCGGGCTTTTGGTTCGCAAAGCTTCGCCTGAAATTCCTGGGCCTGATTCGCTGATGTTTCTGCTAAAGCGAAAGCTGATGGTGGCAGCGATGCAGACCGATGACAACTCTCGAAGACGGATCCATGCAGAAGGGTCAGGTGGCAGAACAGGCTGAGTGAAAAGCCATCGGCCTTGCCTCAGACAATACTCTACGGACAAGGCCTTACAAGAGCCCAAGAATCTGGAGGAGCCATGGCCTTACTACCCAGATAAGAAAGAGCCACTAACTTTATTAGTAATTTTACGTACTTTAAAAATCACAGCAGGGGGCTGGCCCTGTCGTTGAATGAAGTTCGCGGGCTCGGCTTTGGGGGCCCAGAGTTTGGCCAGTTGGGATCCTGGGCACGGAAGTGGCACCGCTCGTTAGGCCATGTTGAGGCGGTGTCCCACATGCCACAGCTAGAAGGACCCACAACTAAGATATACAACTATGTTCTGGGGGGATTAGGGGAGAAAAAGCAGAAATTTTTTTTTTTTTTTTAATCACAGCGGTTGTCTAAGGAGGGAGAAATAGGTCATTCTAATCGTCTCACATTTTAAGAGATAAGATATGCAAATCAATACAAAACTAAGCATAATACTGTTAAAATAATACTGGGATCTTAGGTAAGGCCTTTTTTCCTAAGAACCGGAAAATATATTTCATATGAAACAATAATTCATATAAAATCCCTATTGAGATTGTGTCCACTGCAGATGGGGTCCTGCATAACACTCCAGGGAGATGAAATATGGGATTAAAATACTGTCAATTTAACTCTAGTCAACAAACATTCTCTGGACTCTTGTTGGATTCTAAGGGTTCAGAGGCCAGTAAAATAGGGTCCCTGTCCATAAGGAGTTCACAGCAAAGCTAGGCATAGATAGGTAGGCATTTTAGGCATAGATAGGTCGGCATTTTGTATTAGTCCAGGTTCTCCAGAGAAACAGAACCAACAGGATGCATGAAGACATAGGTGGAGATTTATTATAAGGAATTGGCTCACACAGTTATGAAGGCTGGCAAGTCCAGAATCTGTAGGGTGGCCCAGCAGACTTGGGACCTGGGAGAGCTGATGATCTAGTCCCAGTGTGAAGGCATCCTGCTGTAGGCCAGAAAGAGCTGATGTTGCACATGAAGTCTGAAGGCCATCTGCTGGAGAATTCTTTCTTGCTTAAGGAAGGCTGGTCTTTTTATACTCTTCAGGCCTTCAACTGATTGGATGAGGCCCACCCACATTAGGGGGGGCAATCTACTTTTCTCAAAACCCATCAATTTAAATGTTAATCTCATCCAAAAACACCCTCACAGAAACACTCAGAATAATGTTTGACCAGATATCTGGGCACTCCATGGCTCAGTCAAGTTGGCACATAAAATTAACCATTACTCATGCTGGGGACAAATCCACCAACTTGGATGTACCAAGTGCAGGGACAGCAGAAAAGAATTCATTGAAGGGGGAAGTAACTGACCTGGACTCACCAGGCAATGAGACAAGGAATGTCCTTTCCAGGTGAGGGGACCACCATACTCCAAGGAGCCGAGTCACATACTGTGGCGTTACTGGAGTCTTAAAAAGGGAGAAGGGAAGGGGTGGGAGATGTTCCTGGAAGGACAGGGATCAAATTGAGAGGCCGTTGTGGGCGACACTCAGGGGCTTGAACCGTCTTCTGTAGTTGATGGGGAGCCACCAAAGTCTTCTGAATCAGGCACAGACATGGTGACTTTCGCATCATCTTGGTGGCAGGATGGAGAAGGGGGAAGAGGCAGGTGAGTGAGCCGGAGTGCCAGCTCATTTCCTGGCCCCCGAAGCTCCCTCTATCTAGGGAAGACTGGCCTGACTTCTCCACATTCAATTCCACCGTACAGCGTCGAGCTCACAGTCCAAAACCAATCTCATGGTCAACATTTGCGAGCAAGAAAATAAAAGGTGACCCTGTTCCTAAACGAATGTTCAGAACTAGGCTGCCGGCTGTGAGGGGCCCACTCTTTGCTCACCTGGCTCTCCCACAATGTGGGGAACACTGGCTCCTTTCCCCTGAACAGCTAGATCTGCAGGTTTTCCCTTAAGGAAGGTGATTCTCTTTGGCTTGCTGAGACAGCCGGCTGCAGAGGTGTGATCTTTCTTCTGCTGCTGTTTTAGGGTTGTTTTTTTTTTTTTTTTTTTTTTTTTTGCCTTTTTGTTTTATTGTGGTAAAGTACATGTAACATAAAATTTACCATTTTAGCCACTTTTTGGTGTGCAATTCAGTGGCATTAGGTACCTACACATTGACATACACATAAAGCACGACCAAGTGGAGTTTATTCAAGGAATGTAAGATTGTTCTAACATTTAAAAGTCCAGCAGTATAATCTACCACGCTGAAAAAAAAAAAAAAAAAAACTAAACTAAAAAGACCCCTCAAAACCATATGATCATATCAATGGACACCAGAAAAACTTTTGATAAAATGCAATATCCAATCCTGATAAAAACCCTGAGCAAACTAGGAAAGATGGGAACTCCCTTAACCTCCACAGAAACCATTTTCAAAACGAGCTAAATGATACACAGCAGTAAAAGCCTGGGTGCCTTTTCCCTAAAATCAGGAGCAGAGCAAGGTTATCTCCTCTCACTCCTACTTAATGCAGAACCAGATGCTCCAGCCAGGGCAATAAGGCTAGGGAAAAATATGACACCCAGACAGGCAAGGAAAAAGTAAAACTGTCTTTATTTGAAGAAGACATGATTCTCTGAGGTAGAACAACCTACGAAATGTACCAAAACAACAACAACTAGAATAATTTAATTCAGCTTGGTTGCAGGATACAAGATAGGTATACAAACATCTACTGTATTTCTGTGTGCTAACAATGAACCATCAGAAATTGACTCTTTTTTTGATGAGCAAGAGTGTCCCTGAGCTAAATCTGTTGCCAATCTTCCTCTTTTTGCTTGAGGAAGACTGGCCCTGAGCTAACATTTGTGCCCACCTTCCTTTGTTTTGTATGTGGGATGCCACCACAGCATGGCCTGATGAGTGGTGTAGGTCCATGCCTGGGATTGGAACCCACACACCCCAGGTCACTGAAGCAGAGCATGCGAACTTAACCACTACGCCACTGGGCTGGCCCCTGAAATTGAAAAGTTAAAAAAATACAAATAGAATAAAAACATGAAATATTTAGGGAATAATCTGATTAGGTTATGCAAGATCTGTTAACTGAAAACTACAAAACACACTGATTAGAGAAATTAAAGGTGGCCTGGTAACGTCTGTTTGCACTGCTAGGAGCTTTGATCTACCACAGAAGAAGTCCAGCTACTCTCTGCAGACCACATGAGGCGGCCGGCTGAGAGGGAGAGGCTCTGAGGCTGCATGGAAGAGATGCGAAGAGCAGCTGACAGTGAAGAGAGGCCCCAGAATCACGGTCCCAGCCATCCTCGCTTTGTGTCACCACGTGAATGGAGAAGCCATCCTGGATGCCCAGGCCCAGCAGGAATCACTAGACCAGAGAGTAGACATTCCTCCCACATACAGTCCGGATGCTTCACACACAGAATCATGAGAAACTAAAAACTCAGAAACGGCCCTTGCTCCGGCTCCCATGGTTTGCGACAGTTTATGAAGCAGCAATAAATAATTAAGACAATGTGATTCTGGAAACTGCATCAGAAGCAGGGCTATTTCACCTCCTCTGCCTCCACCAGGTGAAAGCTTAGCCAACACTCAAAACAGTTTCTTCTGTTGTGTCAACTCGATGAACATCAAGGTGCCTGTGGCAGCAGAAATACATTTCCACATTTTTCCAAACATTAAATTATTTTTAATCACCTTTGATACAATTTTTAAAAATCTGGTTTAAACGAGTATATGTACATGTGTTACCAGTTTTGCAAATCACATGTTCATATACACAATGTGAGAGAGGTGTGGGGGTGAAAACATATCTAGGTTTTACATCAAAATATGAAAAGAAGCTGTCCTTGAGTTATGAGATTACAGAGGACCTTTGTCTGCTTCTGTTACGTACTCATACTGTCAACGTGCTGAACCGTAACCATACAACACTTCTTAAATATGAGCATTGAAATTGGGACACAGAGGCTCTTTTTTCCAGGGCAAAAACAGTGAAGGTTCCTCATTTTCTACACTTGGTCATGAGGCTTCATCTCAGGCATTTAAGAAATCGTCAGTATGAGTGAGGGCATTATTCTTTACATATTTTTTTTTTAATGTACACACCAAAAAGGGTAGAAACTCGAAGTGTACAGCTTGGTGAATCTGCACAAGGCAATCGACCCAGGTACCTAGTGCTTGGAGTAACAGGAACATTACCAGCACCCTTCACGTCTCCCTGGGGCCCATTCTAGACACCATCACCTCCCCAAGTGTAACTGCTATCCCACTGGTTCTCAGCTGGGGGGATTTTGTCCTCCCTCCTAGGGGACATCTGGCAATGTCTGGAAACATTATTGGTTATCACAACTCGGAGAAGAGGGTCTCCTGGCACCTAGTGATTAGAGGCCAGGGATGCTGCGAAACATCCTACGATGCACAGGGCAGCTCCCCTTCACACTAATAAAATATCATCTGGCCACAAATGACCATAGTGCCAAGGCTGGGAAACTTCAATCTAGAGCATCATTTTGTGACAACAAAAAGTTATATCCAAAAACGTTCATAGAAGCTTTATTCATAATTCAAACATCCAGAAAGAACCAAATGTCTTATTCAACAGGAGAATGGAGTATTCCATTAACATGATGGAATACCACTCGGGAAAGAAAACGCTACTGAAAGACACAGCATTAGGGAATCTCAAAAACATTATGGAGAGTGAGGGAAGCCACATACGCCAAAGCAAGTGAACAAACCAACCAGCCTGCTTGATTCCAGGTCTAAGAAGGAAAAAACAGAGGCAAAAGAAGAAACCTTTGCGATAAAAACAACAAAGCAGTTTCCTCCGAGGGTGGCGATATGAAGGAGTGATGAATATTTATTTTGATTTGCGTCTTGGTTACATGGGTCATCAATTGCCAATATGCATCAACCCTGTGTAGTGACGTCACCTCACCCAAGCAGAGGAAGTGAGATCAGAGGTCTCCTTCCAGAAACAGTTCCTCTGCAAGAAAGTGCTTTTTAAGGGATCTAGCGTGCTTCAGGCCAAGGTCCACAGGAATTCCATTGGCTCATCCACTCCAGCCCAGCAATTTGTAGAACATTTTCAAGTCCTGTCACGACGGTGTGCAAACAGATGTCTGTCATCATCTCATTTAATACCATATATATTATCTGGTGCACATCTACACCAGTCACTCCAGAAATTGTAATAACCTCTCCTGATTTAATCCATGTCAACATATTTTGCTAAACCAGAAGTTTGATCTACTTAGTTTGGAGAAGCACCTTCAAACCGATGTTCATAAACATTTCCTTGATTAGGGTGAGAAATCTTAGTGAATGCTTTTAATGATGATATTGAGTGTCATTTCTATCTTCCTTTATTATCCTTCCACAAATCAAACTCTGGGAAAAATTTCAATCAGATTTTGATTACCAGCCAGGCAGGCAGTGGGGATAGACAAGGAGAAGCAGGGCTCCTTCAGCTCAGGACCAGCTAGACACTGGGGCTGAAAAGCTCTCTAAATCCTCTGAATCCTGACAAACATACCTATTCCACTAACAACGATCTTGGTCTTTTTCACTGAATGCTCTAAACATCACAGAAGCAACCACACACAGGTATAAACTGAATTGTCGGTGTAACTAGGAAAACCATGGGACCCTTATCTGAGTTTCTACAACAATAAGAGATGCAAGGCTTACAGCAATACGAGATTCTTTCAATAGAATCACATCAAGACCCTGAGTTCACACATTCCACTTTGGCCGCCTGGGGTTCGCTGGTTCGGATCCCGGGTGCGGACATGGCACCGCTTGGCAACCCATGCTGTGGTAGGCGTCCCACATATAAAGTAGAGGAAGATGGGCACAGATGTTAGCTCAGGGCCAGTCTTCCTCAGCAAAAAGAGGAGGATTGGCAGCAGATGTTAGCTCAGGGATAATCTTCCTCAAAATAATAATAATAATAAAAAAGACCCTGAGTTCACGTTGATGAGCTAAGGCCTTCCATTCATTCATTCATCAGTTTACTTGATAAGTGTCTATTTAATGACCTAAAACATCTAAGGCACTTTTCTAAGGACTGGAGAAAATTCTTGCCCTTGTGGAGATTAGATTCTGGCACTGGGAAGACAAACAATAAACAATAAATACATAGTATAATAAATGAATAAAATAAGGGTTATGGAGAAAAATAAAGGAAGGGGCAGAGCACACTGCTGGACAGAATCCAACGTAATTGATAACTTATGGGGGAGCAAAACTCCCAGGTATCTTGACTTTCACAAGCACGAGTCTGCAGGTTCTTTCCCCTTTGACTTGAATGTACTTTCTCAACTTGTCTTTGAAAACTCCTACTCATTTTTCAAAGCCCAGCCCACAGAACATTTCCCTGAGATCCCTTCTGGCCTTCAGAACCATTCAAAACCAACGGCATTTCAAGGACACTCATGGATTCTAAAGTGTTGGTAATATTTTCCATCTTAGCTTGGTTAGCGAGTTTATGAGTACAGCCATGCACCACATGACATCTCAGTCAACAATGGATCATATATATGATGGTGGTCCCATAAGATTGTGCCATAGAGCCTAGGTGTGTAGTAGGCTACGCCATCCAGCTTTGTATAAGTACACTCTATGCTGTTCACATGACAACAAAACGGCCTAACCATGCATTTCTCAGAACATATCCCCATTGTTAAGTGACACGACTGTATTTATTCTTCTTCTCTAAACCAGCACACATACTTTATAAATGCTTTTATATGTGCATTTCACAGAAATTCAAGGAAAAAATCCTATGTGTTCAGTTTAGGAATATCTACCCCTAACATCTATCTTGGCTATCCCTTATATCTATGCCTGGTGATGTTCCCTTGTGTCAGTCTCTGCCTTCTCTCTATTCTTGTTCACAGGCAATAAACAGTGATGAGATCCTCAAGATACAGCAACTGTAGGAAGTGTGGAAGAAAACTCAGGTAAGCACACTGTGGTCAGCTAACTCAAAGTTAGACTTGGGATCATATCTAGACACCATTTTTAGGATGCAAAGCATTAAGCAGTAGCTACACATTCTTTCACGTTGGGCAACATCAGAGGCCCTCCCATTTGAAGGGAGCTCTCCATTGCGTCTGAACTGGGTAGGATACAGTGTCTCTCCTGTTAGGACAGAAGCAAAAGCCAAGAGATGATCTCTTTGCCTAGCCTTCGGCAATCAGGACACAAGCATTGTAATCCTGGCTTCGGGACATTAGACACGAGGTGACACTTACTGAGGGCCAGTAAAGTTTCATTTGTAAAACACTACTGCGTATTCGTGGTGGTGGCAGCACAGGACCTGTGTAGGAGCAGGAGGCAGAGCCTTCCAGGTCATAGGATCATGGCTTCACTTTCTGCTCCTAAACCTGATTTACTGTGGTTCCTCTCTACTTTCAAAGGTGATTCATTGCTGTCCCATCCATTCAATGAGCTCTTGAGACAGTGTGAATAAACTGCTTTTCTAAGAGGGTCAAAGTCAATTTATGCTACTTATAACCAAGATCTTAACTGTTAAATAATGAGAATATTAACATTTTCAAGTCTAGTTCGCTTTGGTTAATATTCTCCAACATGAATTCACCTATGTCGAGTGAGGTGTGACCTGTATCTGAAGGCCTTCCCACATTCGTGGCATCCAAAGGGTTTCACTCCACTTTGTGTCTATCATGTGTAACGAGCAAGGAGTGGTTACTGAAGGTTTTCCCACGTATGTGACATTCATGGTCTTTCTCCCATGTGACTCCTCCTATGAATAACAAAACGGGACCAAGAGGTAAAGGCTTTTCCACATTCCTGACACTCGTAGGGTTTCTCACCCGTATGAAGTCTCCTGTGCAGAGTGAGCTGCATCACATGGCAAAAGGCCTTCTTGCAGTCCTGACACTGATAGGGTTTTTCTCCAGTGTGAATTCTCTGATGCTCCATCAGGGAAGAGGGACGTATGAAGGATTTCTCACACTTACTGCATTCATAGGGTTTTTCTCCAGAATGAATTTTCTGATGTCGAATGAGCTGTGAACTCTGAGTGAAGGCTCTGCCACAGTCCTTACATTCAAAGGGTTTCTCTCCACGATGAATTCTCTGGTGGTCAATAAGGGCTGAGGAGCGGCTGAAGGCCTTTCCACACTCACTGCACTCGTGGAATTTTTCTCTGGTATGTGTCCTCTGGTGCCGAGTAAGGTGAGTCTTCTGACTGAAGGTCTTCTTACAGTCTTTACATTCGTAGGGTTTCTCACCCGTGTGAATTCTCTCATGCTGGTTAAGGTGTGCCCTCTCATAGAAGGTTTTCCTACACTCAGTACATTTATAGGGTCTCTCTCCTGTGTGGATTCTATGATGTCGAATGAGAGTTGAGCGGCGACTGAAGAATTTCCCACACTCGTGACACTGGCAGCACTTCTCCTCCTTAAGAATTTTCTGACAGATAATAAGATATGTATTGGTGAAGGGAGTTTCTTCATATTCTTTACATGTCTTGCTTGTTTTATTCATCACTATTTCATGCTGGAATGTTTCTTCTTTTATATTCTTCCTTAGAGATAATTCCTTGCTCTCCCATATTGACTCACTCTCTGAAAATGAACACACAAATACGTTAATATAAAGAAATAAATACATTCCCACTTTCGAGAATCTATCCTTAGATAAAGGCTTTAGGATAGGATATTAATGGGAGTTAAGGATATATGTACAAGGACATTTATTGTCAAACTCTACTGGGAAAAAACTAGGAAAAATAAATACATGCATTAAAAGTACCTATTTGAGTTGACGATGTTATGTCCAATAATCTGGCTTATTTATGAAACTATTAAAAATCATGAGTTTTAGCTATATTGACCTGAAGAGATGAGGCTGACTGAGAAAACCAAGTTGCAGTGTACAAGCGTAGAAAGATATCTATTTTGTAAGGACAAGAAATAACAAAACGTTCCCTGGATGTCTGTGCCTGTGTGTTGTGTGTGTATTAGCACAGATAAAGGTGTGAATGGACACCTGTTATATTATTACCATTGGTCCTTTAGGGCAGCGAGAATGAAAACATGTGCAAGGAGATTATCAATTTTTTCTTTTTACAGTGTGACCCTGAATATTTGGTAAAACAAACCCATCCTGGTTTTACAGGTTTGGAATAAGATTTTTAGTATCATCACATTCTCTAACTAGCCATTGGCCACGAATCCAATCATTTCGAGAATGAAACATTCATAAAATGACACAAAGTATACCTCCGATTATGGTATGGTATGGTATGGATCATGAATGATACAAAGTTTCAGAGACTGGATAGGCAGATATTTGGAAACAGGGCCTTTAAAGAGGTAAAACTGGGTCATTGGGGGGGTCCCTAATCCAAGATGACTGGTGTCCTTGTAAGAAGAGATGAGAACACAGACACGCACAGAGGGACAACCAGGTGAGGACACAGGGAGGAGACGGCTGTCTACAAGACAAGCAGAGAGGCCTCAGGAGAAACCAACCCTGCCAACATCTTGATCTCAGACTCCCAGCCTCCAGAACTGTGAGGAAATAAATGTCTGTGTTTATGCCACAGCAAAATCAGAAGACTCTGGACTCCTCAGCATTCTGCAGACTATCACACTGGTCCATTACATTGATAACATGCTGGTGAGACCTCAACGAGAGGTGGAAAGTAAGCTGGATGACCTGGTAAGATACATGTGCTCCAGAAGGTGGGAGACAAATGCTATCAAGACTCAGGGATGTGGCACACAGGGAAATCTTAGGGGTCCTGTGGTCCAGGGCATGCTGCATCATCCCTGCCAAGGTAAAGGATAAATTATTGCAGCTTATATCTCCTGCTACCAAGAGAGAGGCACAGTGCTTGAAAGGAGATAGCATATTCCATCATTGGAAAACTGCTCTGATCTATTTACATGGTAAGGTGGAAAGTACTAGCTTCTGGTGAGACCCAGAACAAGGTCCAGGCCTTGGTACAAGCAGCCTTGATGCCTATGCCACTACTGGGCAGATCCCATGGGACTGGAGGTATCTGTGGTAGAAAGAGATACCATATGGAACCCTGACAGGAGAGTCACAGCTCAGACCCCTATATTTACACCATCTGCAGCAGAGAACTATACACCATCTTTAAAATAGCTCTTGGCATGATCCTAGCTACCAGGAGAGACCATCTGCCTCAGGGACATTTTTATGAAGAGAATGTTTGTCTCCCCTACAAATTCATATGTTGAAATTCTAACCCCCAATGGGATGATATTTGGAGGTAGTGCCTTTGGGAGATGCTTAGGTCAGAGGGCAGATCCTTCATGAATGGGCTTAGTGCTCTTATAAAGACCCCAGAGAGCTCTCTTGTCCCTTCCACCACGTGAGGACAGAGAGAAGATGGCATCTATGAACCAGGAAGCGGGCCATCATCAGACTTAATCTGCCAGTGCCTTGATCTTGTACATCTAGCCTCCAGACTGTGAGAAATCAATGTTTGTGGTTTAAGCCACCTAGCCCATGGTATTTTTGTTAAAGCAGCCTGAATGGACTAAAACAGACATCAAGTGCTTATGTGGCCCAAACTGCCAACATGAGCTGGGTACCATCCAAACCACCAGCACTCAGGTAGGGTGGACCAGCAGCAACCTTTCATGAGATGTAAGAGGTGCATCCATCTCTGCATTTGAACAGATCCAGAGGGTACAGGTAAGCTGCACACACAGTGGCCAGACCCCTGCAGCATCCACCACTGATGTGCTGATCCTTGGCCACTCCAATGCCTGTGCAATAGTCACTCTGTTTAAAATTCCCTCATCTTGGCTCCTACTTTGCCAAAGGTATTTCAGAACATTTCTTAACTCCCTTATTAAACAGTAAATTCCTTGATGGGTTATATTCTCTTAGAAAATCCACATTCTTGGCCCAAATTGAAGATTGCATATGTTTGTTAATAGAATAGCTCTTAGATAGATGTATTTATTCAATCAGTCAAAGGATGGAATGAGTACTTTTTGGTAGATAAAGAAAACAGAAATGTTGAGGAATATTTTTGAAAAACAGCCTTATGAATGAATTAAAGAAAGAAAGAAGATGAGCTGGTGAAAAACAATCTAGAGAGTAAAGATAGAAAGCTGATCATAAACGAGGGGAAGGATACACTTACATTTGGAGCTAGAGGTAATTATTAACAAAGATATAACGGCAGGGTGATGAATGAGGATGAAAGGCGGATCTATCATGGAGCTCAAAGGGCCCTCTGAAGGGAGATGTCCAAACATGTTAACGCTGCTGTGACTCAGGGAGCAGCTGGCCTTTCACAGGGACAGGCTTCCTTCTGCTTGGTGCCTGACTCACCTGGCCTTGGGGTTCCTGCCTCCTTGCTCCTCATCCCCCAGGGCTGTTTGCCTTGCTCCAAGAGGAAAGTTACATCAGGCTTAGAAAGATGGCAATTGGCCATGCCGTCATTATCCAAGAACTCTGACCCACCACCATAGGAATTAGGATAAAAGCTTTTACAAGAATGACCAGAAGACATGTAAAGGTTTTCTGAAGGACTGGAGAGAGGAAGCCGCCCACTTCTAACCGTGCTTGTCATAGGACATGGAACAACAAATAATGGCCACAGTAGTTCCCCAGAGATTTCCAACAGAAGGTGGAAGAAACACCAGGAAACAGATGCTGAATTAAGGGCTCGACGCACTCACCCAGCCAGACCAGGTTCTGATAATTCTCCAACATCACAGCTGTGTACAGTTCTCTCTGGGCAGGGTTCAGGAACCACCACTCTTCCTGGGAGAAGTCAACGGCCACATCTCGGAATGTCACTGATTGCTGAAATGGCAAACACTTTCTTATTGACAAGGCCTTGGGAAGAAGGGTGAAGTCTTGGCTGAAAGAAGATATGTACCATATAGGCGTTGTAGTGTGGACTATAGGGTCTAGTTTCATTTTTGCCAAGTACAAGTTATAGACAGTGGAAACCAGCTCTTTAGATAGAAAGAAGCATACTGTATTATGTACCAAATGTTAAAAATCTTTATGGGATTATGGATTTCTCTTTTCCTAAGTGTATTTCATAATTTTCTAGAATACTTCAAAACGTATTTGTTTAGGGGCTGGCCCAGTGGCATAGTGGTTAAGTTCGTGTGCTCCGCTTCAGCAGCCCAGGGTTCGCGGGTTCAGATCCTGGGCATGGACCTACACACCACTCATCAAGCTATGCTGTGGCAGATGTCCCACATACAAAAAATGCAGGAAGATTGGCACAGATGTTAGCTCAGGGCCAATCTTCCTCACACACACACAAAAGTATTTGTTTAAATTTGTGTGTGTATGTGTGAAATGGAAGCTGCTCTCCAATGAGTAAGGAAAAAAGAAAAATCTCATTTCATTTTAAATTTGTCCTTGGATGTGGGATTAAAGCTTGAGGCACTTAAAAATCTGCAGTATTCATGAGGATGTCCATTTTATTACACGACTCTATTCTTTTCATTTCCTAACGTCTTTGCTAACTCTGCCTCTTCCATGGTACATAGCTGGGTTTTAGTCCCATCTGAAAAGCACAAGGACAAGTCAGTGTGACTGTAGTTCACAGATACTGATAATGGTCTCATTACAGGAAAAAACAAGCCTATGATTCACCTGTGATGGGCCTTCTAGTCCAGTAGTTAGTCTCCCCTTCACAGGGCCCCTCTCTTGAGGAACACAGTCCTGTGAATGCAGAGCTGAGGAGAAGGAAGGGATGATGAAAAGAAAAAAAAAAAACGCCTCAAATCTGCTGCCGTTCCCTCTTATCTACTGCCCCGTCAAACACCAAAATAGAGCGCAGGGTCAGATCACAACACCTCTGTGGGAGCACTAGTGATTCGGAAAAAAATTGGCCACGAAAACCCTAGGAATAGCAGCAGAGCATCATCTGCTAGAGCACCAGACGGTGAGAGGATGGCACAAAAAGACCCAGCACGGTTCCGCTCTGCTGTCCAAAGTGTCGCTAGGCATCGGAATCCACTCAACAGCACTAGCAACAAATTGGTTCTCAAAGTTGTGAGAGATCCGGTTGCAATATCTCAACATCCATTCCTCACAATGGTCATTGAAAATATTGACAATCATAACAACACCTAATGTTCTGGGTGCATGACATGTGTTACCTTCATGCTCCGTCAGGGCTGACCCAGGCATTCCTCTCTGGCTAGATGTCTCTCGCTGGAAAGGGCAGAATCCTGAGATGGTAGCTGGAGAAAGAGAAAGGACAGATAAGAGAGACTAGGTCTACTTGGCAGCTCCTAGCATCACTAGTTTAGAAATTTCTCCTTCCACGAAAATTTAAATAATGTTCAAAAGACTGCTCAGCATTGTGTATAAGCACAGGAAGAGGTACTCAACATCATTTCTCATCAGTGAAATGGAACAGGACAATAAGAATTAAAAGAAGAATCCAATAAAGTAGCAAGATGAGGAATTAACTTAGAGAAATAAATCTCCTACATAGATATAAACAATAAAAAGAGAACAAAGAGATAAACAAAACCCCTTCTTTGCGGCAACAAACATGAAATACTTAGGAATATATTTAACAAAAAAATGTGCAAAACCTATGTGATATAATCTTCCAAATACTCTTGAAAGACACGAAGTAGACTTAATCCAACACAAAGATACTCCCTTTTTTTGGATAGGAAGATCAAACCATCACAATGATGTCAGTTCCCTAAGAACTGATCACTGACAGGGCAAACACACTCTGACTCACAAGTGAACACTGCACTTGGTCTATATATCCTTATCTAAAGACAAAAAGAAGGCTCCCCATGCTCCCCAAATAAGGATTGGAGTGTGTTAGCAATTCTGCCACGCATGCATTCTAGGATTAAGCAAATAAGTAAATATATTATGGTTAGTGGGAGATATGTTTCCTCCTGTCACAGAACAGAGTTTCAAACACAGAAAAGTGGAAATATAGAATGAGTTTTGCAGTGGTGTACTGGAATTGGAGTTACCTGTGAATGCACTGGTTTTAACATATGTAATCGAGATATACAAACACAGATGTTTGTGCGTTTGAATCTATTCATTAGGATAGGAGATCCTATCTGTCCCCTAATAGGGCCTAGAAACAGCAACACCCAAGTAGTAATGAGCACACTCAGCCTCCACGTCTTGGTTTCTAAGTACCATTCTCTAACAAAACAAAACGAAAAGCACCCCAGGACTCCACGGAGAAGCAGAGACTCCAGGGCTGGGTCAGGGACGTGTCCAGAACATCTTGCAGTGCTAGAGAGGAAGGAAGTGCTCGTAAAATAACAGTGCATGTCAAAACACACAGGAGCCAATCTGAGGGTGTTCCCAATGGCTAAACTAGCAAAAACTTGAGAAAACAAATTATATTATTGGTTTATAACTCACGGAATAGAGTAATTACCATGAGCCCATTCTAATATAAATAAATGAATAAATAAGTGGAGAAGGGACAGCTTTTTATTTACAGCACACCAATTAATAAATGTAGAAGGAATAAAAGAAAGAAATTCAACATGAGGTAAATGTCACAGCAATCACTGTTGTAGGCAAGAATGGATGATAAAAATAATGGGTGAAAACACATTGAGAAACAGGATATCTGCAGTCTCAGAGTACCTCCTCTCAAGATAGTTATTAATTATGAGGACTAAAATAATAACTTTACAACGGAGAAACCTGTCAGATACCACCTCAACCATGTTATCCAAGTAATCATTCCCAGTTGACATCATGTGCTGCCTGATATCCTGCACCCAGAAGGGCACATCACTTCCGTGGTATTGGTTTCCAAAATGAATAACCTCAATCCAATCATGAGAAAACATCAGACCTACCCAAGTCAAGGTCGTTCTACAAAATAACTGGCCTAGACTCCTTAAAAAGTATCAAGGTCATGAACGACAAAGAACAACTAAGGCGTTGTCATGAATTGGAGGAGACTAAGGAGACATAACGACTAAATGAAACGCAGATCGGATTCTGGAACAAAAAAAGTGCACAAGTGGGAAAGCTGGTCAAACTCAAATAAGGCCGAGAGATGAGTTCACAGTATTTATCAATGTTAATTCCCTAGTTTCATGATGGTTATGCAAGAGTTAACTTTGAGTGTGGCTGGGTGAAGGGTATGTGGGAGTTCTGTACTATTTTTGCAACTTTTCTCTAATTTTAAAATTATTTCATGATAAAAACTTTTTAAAAAGATGACGTCATGAAATACAAAGACTGAGGAAATGTCAGTCAGTTTAAAGGAGACTAAAGAAACATGACATTTACATGTATATGACACTCAATTTTCTTTTGTTACAAAAGAGATCATGGGGATAACCAACGTAGGATTATATAATAGAAGTGTATCGATGTGAATTTACTGATTTGGTAACTTCACTAGAGTTACAGAAGAGAAAATCCTTGTTTGTAAGAAATTCACCCTGAAATACTTAGGTTAGGTAAAGGCGCATGATGTTAGCAACTTATTCTCAAATGGGCCCAAAAAACAATATGTATATATAGAGAGAAATATATGGATAAAGCAAATGTAGTAAAAGGTTAACATTTGGGGAATTGGGATAAGAGGGTAAGGGAATTCTTTGTACTTTCCTTGCATCATTTTTTTAAGTTTGAAGATATGTCATAAAGTAAAATAGTAACAATACATCATGTAACCCACTAACTACCTCACTGGAAGTTTATTCAATTTTGTGATGCCATTTGCTAAAAGTACTTTAGTCAGAATCTGCTACTCTATTATTTCTACCTGGTTCTATTCCTAGAGCGCATGGAAAAGAACTGCAATTTAAATTCCTTTTTGCCAGAGACACACTTTCACATCTCTCTCCAATGATCTCTTCTCCAGGGAAATATACACAGGTTTTTTGACCACTTCTCATGAGACATAGTTTCCAGATCCTCCCCCATCCTGGGCTCCCACCTCAGCATATGTTCCAGTTTATCAAAACACTTCAGAAAATGCTGCTCACAGGACGACCATGAACTTCCAACTAGCCACCATGAAGTAATGGAAAGGCAGAATCCCTAAAGTCTGCTAGATGTGGTAGGAACCCCCACTCTAACACCATTCCCACCTGTCACTCGGCCTACACTGCAAGGAAGTGACTTCAGAGACTCCACTGGGACAGTGTCATTTTCATCTCTTCTTTCTTTTGACCATTTCAATTCTTTCCTACTTTTGTGTGTGTGTGTGTGAGGAAGATTGGCCCTGAGGTAACATCTGATGCCAATCTTCCTCTTTTTGCTTGAGGAAGATTGTCGCGGAGCTAACATCTGTGCCAATCTTTTTCTATTTCATGTGGGATGCGGCCACAGCATGGCTTGATGAGCAGTGCTAGGATCTGCTCCTGGGATCCAAACCCGCCAACTCTGGGCTGCCAAAGAAGAGCATGTGAACTCAACCACTACACCACTGGGCCAGCCCCACTTTCCTACTTCTCGCCTTCACATCTTTCATTTTTTGCTTCTATCCTCTATTTTTAAAAGAGGTGGGAATACAAAAGTAACAAAAGCATGAAAGAAAAAGTGACTCAATCAAGTCTAAAAGTTCCTCATAGCAACTTTCCTTACAGAAATTAGGTACACACAGTATTTCAAATAATAAATAAGCTATTGGGGCTGGCCCGGTGGTGTAGTGGTTGAGTTCTCACACTCTGTGGGTTCGGATCTCCAGTACGGACCTGCATACCGCTCATAAAGCCATGCTGTGCTGGTGACCCACATACAAAATGGAGGAAGATTGGCACAGATGTTAGCTCAAGGGACAATCTTCCTCACCAAAAAATAATAAGTAATAAGCTATCAATTTGATTTGCTTAACACACTCTTCTGAAGGTATAATGAATGCTCAAGAGTAAGAGCACTGGACACTTCAGGCATGAATGGAAAGAGGCCTGCCGACCCAGAGTCCATCCAGTAAAGATGGAAAGCAGGTGAGGGTATGAACTGCTGGAGAGTCTCTAGGCTGGAAAAAATCCTCAGGCAGGGCAAGGACTATATTGAGGAGAGCACCTGCAAGGTAAGGGCACTTTCTTGAAGGTCATTGGTCCTTTGCAGGACTTTTTTGTTGTTGCTGTGGCTTTTTTTGAGGTCACACTGGTTTATAACATTATATAATTTCAGGTGTGCATCATTATATTTTGATTTCTGTGTAGATTACATCATGTTCACCCAAAGACTAATTACCATCCATCACTGTGCACACATGCCCTTTTACTTCTTTTGACCTCCTCCCCCCCCTCTGCAGGACTTTTTGAACAAAGTGTAGCAAACCAAGTGGTAAGTGAACATCTTACCATGTGAACTCGTGATAACACCAATGAAAGAATTTGAAAACTAAGTAAAACAGTTTTTAGCTATTGTAGGCAAGTAATAATCAGGATGTCTTTTGAAATTAAATTTGCTGCATTAAAAAAAATTGGACACTACTATGTATACACACTGAAGATTTGTACATATTTCAATACAGCATTTTTAAAAAGTTCTGTCCCTGAGAAGAGAATAGCCAGACAAAGCCACACACAGCTCTCCACATTAGTGTCCCCACTAATGACAGAGGGATTTTGGTACAGTCAGCAAAAAGAACCAGAGAAAAGAATCAAAATCAGCATGATTTGGGTCTTGATCTGATACTCGAATTCACGAAAGATCTCTGGGACAGAATCTGGACTAGTGGTTAGGCATGGTATGCCGAAAGTACAATTCCATGTGTCATGTTCTGTGGTTGCTCAAGTCAGTCCCACATTTAAAACCAGTAACAGCAGCCATCTATCAACTGAGGTAAGCCTTTTGCATGTCATCTTTTCAACCTGCACAACAACTGTGAAGGAGAGATTTAACTTTCCTCATTTGACAGATTTAAGGGCCAGAGTTGATTCTGAAACCTGGGTCTGGCTGCAAACAAAAACCACAGCACTTTCAACCAGGCCCCTGCTTATCTGTACACTGTTGATTCGGCGCCAGGCACCATTTCAAGCATCTAATCTCCAGAACACTATTAGCTTTTCAAGAAATATTGTCCCACTTTACACATGAGCAAACTGAAGCTCTGAAAGAGTAAACCATTAGCAAAAAGTCACACAGCCTCTCTAGAGCTCAAAGTGAAGCCGAGGAAGGAGTTGTTAAAATTTCCCTGGATTATGGTGAAACTGTGGTTTGTACCCTCAAGGTTAACGTGGGAAACAAAATAACCGAAGTTTCTAAGCTTGCCTTGCAGATCAGCAGGAGGACCGCTGATAAGAGACCTTGCTGACAGCCCCGCCTGACTAAGCATCTTGCAGGAAGATTGAGAAGCTAAAATGACTGTTAACTCCTGACCTTAAAAATAAAAACCCACCGCATGCAACACATAGAAGAGTCACGCCTGTGCAGAGGGCTCAGAACTTCAGCCCCGAAGGCCACATGCTCTCCCTCCCCCACCTAAAACCCCAAATAAAAACCCTTGCTTGTAACTTTTTCAGGAGTTTGGGATTTCAGGGTTAGCTGCCCTTCTCCTTGCTCAGCGCCCTGCAATAATAAAAGTCCTACCTACTTCCACTACACCCGGTGTCAGAGACTGAATTGCTGCGCGACAGGTGAGTGAACTCACTTCAGGTTCCACATCAAAAGGAGTGAACGGAACAGAGACAGCCACAGAGACGCGTAAAGGGCCACACGCCAAACCCCACAAGCACACAGGAACCACAAAACGCACAGCATAACCAACCAGGCACACCTAAGCGCTGACACCTCGGTCCCACACAGCTCCAGGAACCAACCTACCCGCGAAGAAAGCCGCACACTCCCAGACCCGGGGGCTACCAGAAGGCCCCTCCCACCACCGTCCCCGGAAGCCTTTACCTGGCGAGCCGAACCGCTTCCGCCCCTCCAGGAACCGACAGCAACGCACTCTACGCGCCTGCGCAGGGTCCCCTCGTCCTGCCCCAGCAGGCACGAAGCCACGCCCCCAAGGACGATCACACGCATGCGCGCTCCGTCACTTGCGGGCACGGACCCTCTCACCCTCACACCTGAGTCGCGATGCACTGAGGCCCCGCCTCCACGGACGCTAGTACGCTGGCGCACTCTATTCCGGTGCCTTAACCCGCACTGTATCAGCCCAACACACGAGGGGAGGAGGCCACGCCCTTTCGGATAAAGGCGTCCCGGCTTATTGACAAACCTAGACACTCCGAGTCCCCCGCCCGCCCCTCGCCGCCTAGTCCCGGCCCCCAGTTGGCCAGGATCCCGTGAAACTCTGGGACCACAGCGAGGAGACTGCACATGCGCACACGGAGGCTTCGACGACTCCCAGAAACCACGGCGGCGCGTGAGCGGTGCTGGATGCGGAGGCGGGCACTTCCGGTCGTGCGGGCCAGGCGGCTCGTGTTCTGACGGGTGCCGTCGTCCGCTTTCTTGGGTGGTGGCTTCCCGACCCCGGGGGAGCGAGGGCGGCGGTGAGGTGTGGGTCGTGCTGGGGCGCGGAGGTGGGTACCCGTGGGACCTGGCGTCGCGGCCCGTGAGCTGGAAGGGTCCGCGTGGTGCGGGGGGCATTGGTGTGGTCAGGGTGTCACTGTGTGCGCGCAGCGAGGGTTGATAAAACGTTTATCATGCATTTTATTAGTGATTCTGTCCCGGCGTTGAAAAAGGCCCGGTTACGTTATTTGGGAACGAACGCGTACACTAAACAATGTTGTATCTGGACAGTGAAGTTTTGCTTGCACTTTCTTCCGGGGCGTGCTTTAAAAGGGTGGAGGTGGGTTCGACGTTCCGGTCTTTTTAAGTTTGCATCCTTCTCCTTTGCTCCGCGTCCCCAGGACTCTCTTCTTGCGCTGGAGAGGGACCCAGCGAAGTGGGCACTAGGCATGTCACAGGTGAGTTTTTGTTTTATCTTTGTTTCCTGTAGCATCATGTTTCTTCAGTCCTGGAAGCATCGAGGCTGTCCTTGGGAGACTTGTTTGGGCAGTAGAGACTGACACAGGGACGAGGTCCGGGGCCTCTCGTTCCAGCAAAAGGTGGGACTCTGGGCGCCCCCTCCTCCTTGTCCCTCTCCTCTACTTTCAATGTTCATTTCTTATTCACTGAATTGTTCTGAATCTCCACTGTGACCATTCTTCTAAGCACCTTTTGGGGTCAAAGATATGGTTCCTGGAGGAAAAGATAACAGCCTTATCTGGAGATTCATCATCTTGAAGTAGAGGTGAGTTCTCAAGTTATCTTTGACCTTCTTCACCCCCTGGGGATCGAGAGGAAGCAAGATGGAAAATGCTGTTGCTTAGTTCAGTCCCAGTAATGGTACAGCCGGCCTTTGGAAAATTTGGGGAAGAGGAATGTGATTGGTGTCTGGAGCACGGAAGTCCAGTTTATCAGGGTCAGCACGTTTACTAGGGCACCAGTACAGGTTGAGGTTGGATGGCAGGAGTGAGGCTTCATCTGTGGGATTCAGGCGAAGACCTTATCTGCTCTCTGTAAATGAGGAGCAAGGCAGTGTGCTGCACAGAAGAGGATTGGAGAGCTGGCTGGGTTTCCTGGAGTAGGGCTCCAGACAGGGTGGTTGCGTGGGCCCTGAAATTCAATGCAGGTACAAGCAGAGTTGATTCTTAGCCCTTTAAATGTAGAAAACAAGGCATTTTACTTTGAAAAACAGATCTTTTTCTTCTCAAAGAGGAAACTCCTATTTTCTTTCTTTTAGGAAAAGAGGCAGTATTTTCTCTCCATGTCCTGTTTGTTATAATGACTCATGTTATTCATGAAATTACTAAATTACATTTAAAGAGAAAACCATAAAAATATTTCAACAATCTTGTATATACCCCCATGCAGAAAATTTTTTTTTTTACCATTTTACTTTTGCTTCTTTCTGTATTTCATTTTGACAACATGAAATATCTATGCCTGCAGCTTTTTTTTTTTTTAAAGATTTTATTTTTTCCTTTTTCTCCCCAAAGCCCCCCAGTACATAGTTGTATATTCTTCGTTGTGGGTCCTTCTAGTTGTGGCATGTGGGACGCTGCCTCAGCGTGGTTTGATGAGCAGTGCCATGTCCGCGCCCAGGATTCGAACCAACGAAACACTGGGCTGCTTGCAGCGGAGTGCGCAAACTTAACCACTGGTCCACGGGGCCAGCCCCTATGCCTGCAGCTTTTTTAACAACTACACCTTGTCACGTTCGTTCCCTACTTCCCTTACTCTTGATATTTTTGTACATTATCATTGTAATTGAGATACAATTTACAGATATTAAATATGCAGTTTGGCTATTGATTATAGCTATTGATTACAGATTATTGATTACAGCCCTGTAACCACCACTAAAATCAAGATAGATTTCCATCACTCCTGAAAGTTCTTTCATGCCCTTTTCCCTGCCCTCACTCTCAGAGAAAACCACTTTCTTGTTTTTATGACAATATTTTTGCCTTTGTTTCTTTCTTTCTTTTAACTTCATATAAATGGAATCACACAGTATGTATGTTTGTGTTTGTCTGGCTTCATTCATTCAACGTAGGTTTTTTGACATTCATTGATGATGTCTATTAGGTTTTTTTTGTTTTTGGGGGGTTTCTGATGGTGAGGAAGATTGGCCCTGAGCTAACATCCATGCCAGTCTACCTCTATTTTGTATGTAGGACTCTGCCACTGCATAACTGGATGAGCAGTGTAGGTCCATGCCCAGAGCTCACGAACTTAACCACTATACCACTAGACCAGATAGATAGATTTTTGGTGACAAAGTGTTATTAAAAATAATTTAATGGCTGCAAATTTACTAAAAGTCATTAAATTATACCCTGAGAAATGAATTTTATGGTATGTAAATTATACCTCAATAAAGCTATTAAAAATAAATAACATTTGGTAACATTTGGTAACAGGTGAAAGTGATATATTTCTGTTTCCACGGGAGTACCTTGGTGTTCATCAAGTTGACACAACAGAAGAAAGCAGTTTATGTGTTGGAGCTAGACTTTGCTTTATCACTGTGATGCAGAGATCATTCCATGTTCAATACAATAAAGTTTCAGTGGGTTTTCACCTTACGTACTATTGGTACAAAGAGATGGTGCAGACAAGGTGTAATCTGGAAAGGACAGCTCAGGGCAGTTATAGGTGGTTGAGATCATTGTGAATCGTAGTTGTGTTAGGGCTCAGTGAGGTCCTGGGATATTGGAAAGCCATGAGCTAGGCATGAGCCAGGCATGAGCTAGGCATCTTCAGTCCATCCCCTGATTCATTCTCCACAAGCAGCTGAAGGTGGAACCTAACTCCTTGTTCCTGTTGCAGGCCCTGAGGGAGGCAGATGAGGTGAAATTGTAACACATCTGCAGTTTTCTGAGGCACGTTGTCTCCAACATTTATTGCTACACAACAAACTCTCCCGAAAATGTAGTAGCTAGAGCAAGGACCATTTTATTATTTCCTGTAATTCTGTGGGTGAGAAATTCATACTGGGCATGTGATGTCTGCTGGGGCTGGAATACCCAAGATGGCCTCTTGATTCACACCTGTGATACTGAGCTAGAATAGCTGGGGTCCTATGTCTAGGCCTCTATTTTTGCTGCCAGCTGGCTTCCTCAGCTTTATTCCTTGTTCTCAGAACCTGTCCCTCTTCACTTGACCCCTTCTTATGCCCTTTCCAGTGGGATGGCTCGACTACTTGCCCTGAGTTTCCATGAGCATAAAATAGAATATGCCAAGCCTTCTTTCTGTTTTGACCTAGAGCTGGCACAGCATCTCTTGCATCACATTCTGTTAATTGAAGCAAGTTGTAGGCCCAGTGCAGATTCAAGGAAAGGGAGACTGCATTTCATTTCAGCGAGTGAATTATCCTGATATGCACTCTAAAGATCTACTAAAGGGAATCTGTTTTTGATTCCCTGAGGTAGAGTATGTCTTTCCTCTTCATCTGTGGTAAGGCTCTTTTTAACTAGTAATCCTGTTTCTCAGCAGCATGTCCTTTTTCCATTCTGTCTTGTATAAGGCTCTGTATTTTTACAAAACACTATTCTTTGATACTGCTGTTTCTTTATTGTAAATAAAGTCTGATCATTTGAATGCATGTATTCATTGATGATGTATTCACTAACAAACATTTATTCCTTTTTTAAAACTGGTCAAGTGTTGCGGGCCCCCAAGATCACCCCCAGTTCCAATAATTGACTAGGAGTAGTCACAGAACTCGGCATATAGTTGTATTTATGGCTGCGGATTTAGGGAATAGTCCACAAGAACACCCTAATTTCTGACACAAGTTGCACATTCAGGGATCCCAAAGATCACCCTCAGGTTCAATAACTCACTAGAAGGACTCACAGAACTTACTAAAAACTTTTATACTGGGGCCAGCTGGGTAGCATAGTAGTTAAGTTCATGCTCTCTGCTTTGGCGGCCTGGGGTTTGGAGGTTTGGATTCTGGGCACGGACATAGCACTGCTCATCAAGCCACGCTATGGCGGCATCCCACATACAAAATAGAGGAAGATTAGCACAGATGTTAGCTCAGGGCCAATCTTCCTCGTACACACACACAAAAAAACCTTTTATATTTGTGGTTATGGTTTATTACAGTGAAAAGATGTACATTACAATCAGCCAGGGGAAGAGATGCATGGGGCAGAGTCCAGGAGGGTTCTAGATGCAGAGCTTCCATTCCCGTGTTGGAGTCATGGACAGCATAAACACCTCCCCAGCCATGTGTGACAGTATGCACAGAGTATCGCCTGCCAGGGAAGCCCCCGACCCCTGGTGTCATTCTTTATTGGGCTCCGTCACGTCGACATGGTGGGTTCCTCATGTGGCTCTCCTCAGTCTCCAGCCCCTCTGGAGGTCACGCTGATACTGTGATACAGAGCCCAGCCTAAGTCACATCCTTTGATTACCTGGTGTGGTCCAAGTTCCCTGCACAAACAGAGATACTTTTATCAGGCAGGACATTCCATGAGGTCAGAGATTACCTCCCAGGAGCTGAGGGCAAAGGCTAGATCTCGGAG